GATTTTCGAAAAGTGTGACTGACTAGTCTAGTCTACTAATAGACCCACTGATCGCGTTCAAAGCACCTGTGCGGCGCTAAACTCGTCACGACATGCAACGAGACAATGGGCCAACTATCCGGCCGCCGGATATCCGGCTATCCGGCCTAGCAGCTGGCCGGATATCCGGTATCCGGTATCCGGCCAAACAACTATCCGTTTCATCTCTAATAATAATGTTCAAAACACAAGAGTTTAACAAACCTTAACCTTAAAGTAACAACGAACAAAGCAAAACTTTAACATAATTACCTCAGATAAACGTCCTTTGCTTGCTGTATAACAATTAACCGTCCCGTATTCTGAAAATATCACACTACACCAGGCAACAACTGGCAACAACATTGCAAGTTGAAAATAATTCATAATACTTAGCATGCGTTCGCGTAATTTTAAACATAAATTATTGGCTGGCTGGAAAGCTAACGCTTTATTAAGTTTAAAAAAATATTTTATTGTTTTTCTTTTGTTTTTGATGTGGATGCCAAACAAAGGACAAGCTAAAATAATTCTAGGAATTTGAGCTCTTGCTTTACACGTAGTAGCGGCTATAAAAATGGTGTCAACTCTTTGAGCCACGAATTATTATTGCGATGATAATCACAGTGCGCTAGTGTGTTTGTGTGTGAAACTACTTAAGATAAGATACCTATTATGTTTTTTATCTATTACGAGGATTCCCTGAGATGCAGGTTATGCATCTCACCTGATGGAAAGTGATGTAAATTCAGAGTAGCACATTTTGTATTTCCCTAATAATTAGTTCTATCTTGTAGGTACATACTATTTATAGATACTTCAGTGGCTAGAGTGGTACATAGAGCTTATCCTGTGAATAACAATCCATTGTACGAACTAACTATGTAGTATTAATTAGGACTCAGAGGCGAACTGTAAGGAAAATAGCGGCGATCACAAAAGATCGGTACCGGTTGCAGTGATACAGACTTTATTGAACTAGAATATCCGCTCAACACAAATAAAAAAAATATTCGGGCGATGAGTACCTAGTTACCTACCTACTAACTAAAAATTAAAAATATAAAAAGTTTTAGTAGTAAATCTTCCAAATGGCATCAGATATTGGAAGCCACGCATCGTAAAGCAGCTGTTAAATAAATGGGGCAGCGGTGAGGAGCTGAATCTAGAACCACTTTAGGTGAGGGTATTTTAAAGGACCTAATGTATCTACGTGATCGAAAGTTGTAGGAAATGGAGCAATACAGCCTAAATGCCTGCGTTTTCGAAAATTTCCGAGCATATATCGCCCGTATACACAAAAAACTATGAGGTCTCACAGTGCGCGTGGACGCACAGGGCGACACACGAACCAATCACAAAGCTCTAATCAACGCTGTGCGTTCGTTTTATTTACTTCACTTGAGCAAGCATCGTTTGTAAATACGGGCGTAGGTATGTGTCTACTTAGATAGGTGGATAATTTTACAAAAAAGTGTTATAAATTCACAAAAACATTAATTGTTAAATTACTACTTACTACAAGTACCTACCTACTACATGTTAGTTACGTATGTCTGTATTCGTTTTTAATGACAAAACAACCTATATTTTTACTATTTCTATAAAAGGGACAAATGGTTTTCATCATAAAAATGTTTTAATATTGTCATGTGACATGCAATCAAATAATTTTATTATTTTAATTGGAGGGTGAAATGTATCAATTGATTAGTACCTAGCTATATGTTTTTACGTAATTAATATACAGTGTGTCCGGGCTTGTAGTGATCAAACTTTAATGGCGTAATCTATGGACAATTTTATCGATGAAAATACTTCAAATTTGGGGCTTGACCCATTCGTCGCAAAATTACGAGGATTTAAGTTTTTAATTTTTAGTTTTCACCTCTTCCTTCAAAAACAAGTGAAAACGTGGGTAACTTAACATTAATAAGCGAATATTTGATATCATGCGATAGTCAATAAAATTATCTATTAGCAGAAACAGAAAACGGACAAAAGTTTCATACATTTTATGGAAGTAAGAATGGATTGAACTAGAAAAAGACATGATTTTTTTCACTTCTTTTTCAGTTATTTGCCAACACAAGAAAAACCAGGTCGTTAAAGTATGTTTTATTTGCATTGTATTATTAGTATTTGAGCTATTCTACAAAACGAATGTAAATTTATTAGTCTACGTCTATTAGTTTCGACGTAATTGTTGAACAAAGATACCTCTTCCCATCCGGTTCCATAGCGCTGCTAACATGCGAAAATGCACTGCCTGAACGAATCACACAACCTATTCCGACGCGCTATGGAACCGGCTGGGAAGGGGTATCTTTGTTCAACAATTACGTCGAAACTAATAGACGTAGACTAATAAATTTACATTCGTTTTGTAGAATAGCTCAAATACTAATAATACAATGCAAATAAAACATACTTTAACGACCTGGTTTTTCTTGTGTTGGCAAATAACTGAAAAAGAAGTGAAAAAAATCATGTCTTTTTCTAATTCAATCCATTCTTACTTCCATAAAATGTATGAAACTTGTGTCCGTTTTCTACTTCTGCTAATAGATAATTTTATTGACTATCGCATGATATCAAATATTTGCTTATTAATGTTAAGTTACCCACGTTTTCACTTGTTTTTGAAGGAAGAGGTGAAAACTAAAAATTAAAAACTTAAATCCTCGTAATTTTGCGACAAATGGGTCAAGCCCCAAATTTGAAGTATTTTCATCGATAAAATTGTCCATAGATTACGCCATTAAAATTTGATCACTACAAACCCGGACACACTGTATATTATGTCATTCTAGCAAAAGCTTGCCAAAATTTTCCACAGGTTAAGAAAAGCGCCAATAGACTTTCACACCAGGGTTTATTAATATTAATAATATTACTATTAATATTTATAGCCACCTACACTATTGCGATACCACTCAGGTAACTAAGTTTTTAAGGACATGTTTATGTAATTTACACTATTTACAAATTGCATAGCTGGGCATTAACTCGTTAATCCGTTCATCGTTAATTAACGAAGTTAACATTTCTATTAACGGATAACTTGCGTTAAATTATCCTAAGTCCGTTAATCGTTAATCCAGTACCTACTATTTACCAAAAACATACAGCAGACACGCTGAAAAACGCGTTCTGATAAGTACGTTCGGGCTTCCAGAACTTCCAGAACCCAAAACAACAGTTTTTGTAACCAGTAGCCCTAAGATGCGTGCCGTGATAACTTTTATCGACGTCAAAATGTATGGAGAAAATCGATAAAATGACGTGATAACCGCTTATCGCGGCGCGCATCTTAGGCCTACCTACTGATCACCAACGCAACAATGTAAAAAATGCATTTTTTTATTTATTTACAACTGAATTTAAGACCAGTTTTCCTCAACTGATTGAGCTGGGTATACTTATGTAAGTATGTTGACAATGCAATGTTATAGTACCATTGAGCTGGTTTGATGATGGCGTCAAGAGGTGGCCATAGAAACTCCTAAATGAAACGGCGGAATTGCATCGAATTTGGGTTCGTTGGATTTGTCATTTTGAGCACTTTAGTACTAGATGATGTCCAGGGTCCTGATGATGGAGTCAAGAGGTGGCCATAGAAATTCCTAAACGAAACGGTGGAAACTTATCGAGTTTGGGTTTGTTGGATTTGTCTTTTTGAGCACTTTGGTGCTAAATTGTATTGTAATTTGTACCAAGGCTCTGAGATTGAGATACAACTAAAATGTATAATAAAATTATAATAAAAGCTTTTATTCTGAAATGCAGTTGTACTAAAACGAAAAAAATAATTGTACTTATGCAAGGTTCAAATAATTTCGAAAACTTGTAGCGCAAACATAAAAGAGGAATTAATTCCATGCGCGATACAAGCTTTCGAAATTATTTGAACCTTGCATGCAATATTTTTTTTCGTTATTATCACGTGTTAACGGATTAACGATTAACGAAGTTAACTATTTGATTAACGGTGCCCAGCTATGACAAATTGTCACTTAGTATGTAATAAATAATTTTAATTTGAAAAAAAAAAAAAAACAATCAAGACTTCTTCCTCTTACTGTGCTCTTACGCATGACACTTAGATTAATAAAACCTAGATGGATAGTCTTCATACAAACGCTTCGTCAAGAGTGAGGCAAAAATCTTATGTCATTAGTGTCAATTTTGTTGGGGAGTGTAGACAGTGAAGGCGATTTTCCCGAAAGTAGGGAAATTTTTAATACGTTTTTAATTATTTTATAATTAACAAAAACAAAACGCATCATGTATGTACTTACTTATTTATTGAATTCAAAGTACCTACATAATTACAATAAGATAAATCGACTTAAAAGTCTCGATTTCATAAAAATGGAAGTGTATTTGTACGGCGAACAATTATTGGGAAATAAATTTTCTTGTTACTGGTATCATTCCCGTATTTAATTTTTGAAAGCCAAATTTAAGAAAAATACGCGTCGAATCGTAGTACCTACTTACTTATGAAATGTAACACTGGTCACTTTCTTTCGTTTTTCTGATGTACCTATTTAGACACCCTTTCACAGCACAAACCGTCTTAATTAATTAAAAGTCGTCGGACGTGTTTACCAATTTTTCACTTTGACAGTTCATGTGACGTTTACGAGTGAGCCATTCAGGCTCACTAAAATCTGCCTCACCTTTCGTGCACTGACTATCTATCTAGGTTTTATTAATCTAAGGCACGACATTAAAATCCCAACTTGAATGAGGATCAGTACTACCTAACGTTCTTATTTGTGAATGCAGATTTATAGGGATAAATAAAAATCTTTAATCTACAGTCCAAAAATTTTTATGATACGACAAAAATTGACGAAGATAAGGCAAAATTTATATTGCTGGTATTACTAACGAAGTTCACTGACCCCCCGCGCGGGGCGCGGTAACGCTTACGTCACAAGGTCGGTCGATCGCGCCAGTTAGCCGTTGGCAGCGGTAAGGCGCGCAGTGTTTTGTTAGTAATTGTGACTTTGAAATAAATTAAGTCTCCGATTTGTGTTTAATTTTATAGTGTCGAAATGTATAAATATTGTATGGTGCCGAAATGTATAAGCACAACTATTAAAACGCCAGAAAAACTGTTTTTTTGCGTGCCTAAAGACCCAAAACTTCGCAAGAAATGGTATTCTCTCGCAAAAAGAGATGTTAGAATTCCACCCAATTCCCAGACTACAAGATATTGCTGTGAAGATCATTTCGATGTACGTATCTACCTACATACCTATTATTTTGGCGCAAGTAAACTATGCGGGAAATTGATCAAAAAGTATAGTAAAGCGAACTTCGGTTAGTATCACCATGCGTCGTCCATACTTCGGTGAGTGGGCTCGCGCTTCGTTGCAGTCAATCTCCCCCCGACCCGCGCGTATTATGCGGGAGACAGGGACGTACTCGAGCTAAAAGTAAAGAGTGAATTATATTTTTTTGTCATTTACACACCTTACAGTGGAGCATTTATGTATCTGCCTCAGTTTAGTTGCCTTATTGTTAGAAGTAAATAAATTAATACTTAAAAATTTTTATATTTCAGTTGGAAGAAGATATGGAAAATTACGTAAAGTTTAAGTTGGTTGGAGGAAGGCTTAAACTGAAGAAGGGAGTTTTGCCTCATAAGTTTGAATGCCAGAAGCCTCAAAAAAAGAAAATTATAAGAACCGGTTTCAAAAAACGACAGGACATAGAATATTTGGAAAGACTTTTAAGTAGAGATATTGGACACGAAGACCTGTCATTACACCCCATTGAAGAAGTAAAGTGTGAACCAGACATAAATATAAATATCCAAAACAGTGATCCTCTTATCACACCTGAAGAAATAGAGGAATTATCGAAAAACAATGAAAGGGGTCAAAAATCACAAGCAGTGCAGGTGCATCCAAAAATGAAAAATAAATCTACTAATACGCCAATCAAATGGAAACAGCCAATAGAAAAAAAAAGTAATTCGTAAAAATCTTGATCTAAACGTTTCCTTTACGATCAGCAACTCAAACTCTAATTAATTATTAGTTCTTTTGGTGTTAATGTTGATATCGAGTCGACTGATTTAGAAATAATAAAAATAATTAACAATAACGTTTTCAATGAGCAATGCAAAAAGGCGCCCTAATGGCTATATCTCGAGATCCAAAATTACTGATAGGCCTTCCTGCTCATTCGTACTTTTGTATTAAACATTTACAGAACTTTACGGTATTATCATCTATTGAAATCCTAGTGACTACGAAAAATCCGATGGCATGACCCAAACTTAATGCTTGCAATACATTTTGGCATCTCTGTTTTAATATTTTAATAAAATTCTCCCAAAAGTTGCATTATGCCTGAATTTTCTTATTATCTGGCCATCAGCAGATGATGTCAGGGAAAACTTGCCGATAGCTTTTAGGAAGCACTATTCTAAAGCGATTTTAATAATTGATTGTTTCGAAATTCAAATCTAGAAACCTAGCAACGCTTCGCACCAAGCGGCTACATGGTCTCAATATAAAAGTTGCAATACGATTAAGTACCTACTTGATTTCAATAACACCTGACAGTTTGATAAAATCTCTGAGGGATATGAAGGGACGACCCCAGACTCAATAATATTTGAAGACAGCGGATTTCTTGACAAATTGCCACAAGGAAGCATTGTGTTAGCTGACAGGGGTTTCAAAAATATTTCCCATTTATTGGAGCAACGTGGTTGTACACTCCTGAGGCCGCCTAGTGTGAGTTCCAACTCAAAACCTGCAGCAGAGGAAGTCTTGTAAACAAAGAGAATTGCTGTTATTAAGAGTTCACGTTGAAAGAAGCGTAGGGAAGTTGAGAGACTTTAAAATGATCGGACCTCACGCATGTGTCGATATTTCATGCACACAGTTTTGGATAATATTGTAACAATAGCCTGTGATTTAGATAATTTACATAATCGTCTATTTAGTAATCAAGTTTAAGAATAAAAATGCTTTCTTTTATTTTATAGTTTTATTTAGACAACCTGAACTGAACCTTAAATCTGATTTTATAAATTTTATTTTGTATAAAAATTTAAAATATTTAAATGATGATATCAAATTTCTGACTTTACCATACCATTTTATTTATCATGGGCTAATGTCGGCTAATAAACCTATTTATTTACTTAACAACCTGTATAATAAACAATAACAACACAACAAAAATATGAATAAGCATAATGAATGAACAAAAACAACATTATTTTTATTAAGATTCTATAAACACTTTATTCATTACTCATGAATACGTCCCTGTACTATAAGGCGCATCTACACGTCACAATGGCCGCCAAGTATGGCCGCTGAGTGCCGGCTGCGCTCGGCTCCGATACAGTGACGTCACGCGACCTTCATTCATACATTGACTTTTAGCGGCAAGAACGGCCATGTTTATTATATCTTCGTAAGTAATGGGCCGATTTGGATAATTCGAAAAGATATTTTAACATTCTTATGTCATAATAATATAGAATAATAGAATATTTTATAATAGTTTTATTGAATCCTACTAATATTATAAATGCGAAAGATTGGATGTCTGGATGTTTGTTACTCTTTCACGCAAAAACTACTGAACGGATAACCCAGAATAACATTAATTTATGTCGATCTGTGCCAAAATAAATTTCACGCGGGTGAAGCCGCGGGCAAAAGCTATTTATCTATAACTTTATTAATCCTCATTGTCCGAGGTTAAGTGACCTACTCAAACGCCCTTTGAAGAAGCAATGTGTCCACCTACAAGTACAGACGACACATTAGATTATAAATTTTTGTTGCAAAATAGCTCCTATTACAACTACATTATGATGTGATGTCACAGTGTACCTTGATGTGCTGTTGACGGTAATTCAGGTCTGCTTTTGACGGACCAGCCGTCCTCCCACACTCAGACCCGTGTTATCAAACAAAGCCCAAGAGGTATGAAACATTCATCAATAAGATTCAACCAGACTTAAATTACGAGTAGGTATAGATTCTATACCATCCGTTATTTTATTTTTTGCGTTTACTTAGTTAGCAAACGTGCTTCTCCTATGTGTCACATTGTCTTTATCAAATCAAATTGGTTCAGTACCTAGCTTAACTTTTCAATAACTTTAACAGCGACTATAACAGAACTGCACGTGATTATCCTACTAATATTATAAATGCGAAAGTTTGGATGTCTGGATGTTTGTTACTCTTTCACGCAAAAACTACTGAACGAATTTTGTTGAAACTTTACAGTATTATTTTTTGTAGCCCAGATTAGCATATGGGCTATAATTTATGCCGATCTGTGATACTAAATTGATGTGAACGCGGGTGAAGCAGTGGGCAAAAACTAGTGAAGTCATAAGATTCCTCTGTAGTTAAGGATTCCGGACAAAGCTCGCTTCCGCCTTCGGACTGATCATCACTTTCCATCAGATGAGTTGCCAAGAGCTTCACGTAAGTTAATAAAACAGGTTTTCCTTATTTCAGGCACAATATTTTAACGTTCATAACATTCATTAAGTTTGCACCTTTTATTATCTTCAACTTTTGAGAGCCATTTGCGTTCACCTATTGTCCGGTGAAGCTGAAAAAGCCGCTCACGGCTATCAGCATAGTCAGTCCGAAAAAAAAAACTCATTAATAAACGTCGCGTTAACACCCGTGTCTTATTTTCAGCCACAAGACGTCCACTGCTGAACATTTAATATTATGCCTCCCCCAATGATTTCTTTCTATACATACATATTGACCGGTTGGTAGCGGCCTGCATCCAGCGCCTTCCTGCTACCTTTATGAGCCTTGCGCTACCTAAACATAAAGTGCGTACGAAAACCATTTTCACGTCCCATTTCGAGCTCCGCTTAAGCGCCTCCTATGCGTACGCGCTTTACCTTACCTTCTGTCATTTAAAATACCCACTCAGGGTTTATTTCCCGGGTGACTTAAAACTAGGCATAAAACTAGCCGTAAAACAAGAAACGAGTGTCCCTAAGTGTTGTTTTGCACCTGCCGCTAATTGAAGGGGTCCGAACCGAGTTTATGGACATCTCTGGTTGGTGGCTTACAGTTCCGCAGGCAATTACCGAGTATATTGAGTTACTTCAGTCTTGTTTTTATAGCTTAGTTTTTAATTGAAGTCTGTTGATTGTTGGTTCTTTGGCTGCTCCTTTACTCATAATATGAAATTTGAAAAACTCGGAACTGAAACTGGGTTTTGGATCCTAATCTAAATAATAAATGGGCCTTCTCAGAAGAAAACTTTAAGTGAAAGATGTTGATGCACTTTGCCTCTAAATGGCTGAAACGATCTCCTGCCTGTATCTTACCTGATATAATGTGGTGATCAGGCCGAGTGTGGAAGCGAGTTTCACCTGCAATCCTCAACCATAGAGGAACTTGTTATCTTACCTTCAGCTTGACATCGATGACCACTCACTAACAAATTGCCCCTAATACTTGACTTGTTCCAAGCGCCACATTTACAAGCTACGGAACCTTAATGTTAAGTAAACCGTGTGTGACCCCAACACTTGACTAGGTTTTATTGCCCACTACGTCTGGATGGATTTATGTCGTCTTCAGGGAAATTACTGATTTTCCAATTCGGAGTAAGTACGCGTAGTTTGGTACATCTCAAGATCATGCTGTCAATTTATATGAAAACCGAGCGATACGCACTTCGGGGATTGTTTTTATATCCCGAATCAAAACCAATTCAAGCTAAGCTGTTTCTAATGGTGACAACGCTTCCTGTGGAAGACTATAATACCATTAATATCAAAGTGCACAATAGGGGTCACTTAAAAATTAGGGATTGATGGTGAAAACGGACATACCACGAGTACAAGTAAGTAGTATCTTGTAGATTTTAGAAGTCTTATACAAAGATGTAGATATTGCTACCAGCTAGATAAAAGTCTAAGGCTGAGTTGCACCACCTTATTTTAACCGTAACAACAACAATAACCGATGCTTTTTGTATGGAGTTTGACAGATTTTTGACGTTTGTCAAAGTTAAAGTAAGATGGTGCAACTCACCCTAAATGACATTACGTGTGTTTGACGACTCAACAAAAAATTACACTTCCACCAAAAATCTCTAGGGAGGTATTAACCTAACAAAGAATTTATGCATGCTCCCTGCGCGTGACAATGCGCACGCAATTTCAAATAATGAATTTACGGACGAGAATATTATGAAATGTGTTAATAAACCGTTAATGAGGCTATTCGATGTCTTTATAGCCATTTTTAGGGATCCGTAAGAGCTATAAGAGGAAAAACGAAAATTTAAGATATCTCGCGTACTTTTACATTAGTAGGTAGGGGGAGTCCGGGAGAGTTTACCCGCCTTCCACTAAAATGCTCATAAATATTTCTATACTTACAAATTGCTAATTTTTATTAATTGTATCTTAAGCTACATTATTTAGCTATATTTTCTTCTAAGAAAGTTTAATACATCATTATTAGTTTAAGAGTAATTAACAATTTTAACCAAAGTGATATTTGGCTAATATCTCCCGCCTGGGTGGGAGACTTGACCCCCCAAGTAGGGAGCCTTTACCCGGGTTTAAAAATAAGCAAAATAATCACTACAAATTATAATTCTATAAAGAAATTTAATCTTCTTGAATGAAAATGTGTAACAATTAATTCTATAAGGTTTTCAAAAAAATCTGCTACGTTTTTTCTATTAAAACTGGTTGATCTGGATAAACTGGTTTCTACTGGGGCAACACCTCTAATAATTTTCCTTTATCAATGTTTCATACCTATATCATTTCTTATTACTGACAGATCTAAATTGCTACTGTTTCTAGATGTTCCTTTTTATATTTGAAGCCTTTCAAATAATTTTGGAAGATTATCTGCAATAAAAGTACCAGATTACCCTGGGTAAAGTCTCCTCCCGATGCCAGGGTAATGTCTTCCACCCCAGGCTAAGCTGTCTATTATTACATTTTTATAAAAAACTATAACACTTAAGTAAAAACTGTGTACCGTAAATGGTACTAGGATAATTACATTTACGATGTATATAAATGACATGCTGGAATCTATTCATAGTAAACGACTGAAATCAAATATCGAAAATTGAAAAAAGTTACTTTTTGGGTTCGAAAATGTGTTATCACTTGTCACTCCTAAACCAAACTGCCAATCACAACGGCAATGCGTGGGCGAGGTGGGACGCGCCTATAGAGTCTAAGAAGTGTGGCTACGTCGCAATATTTAGTTCCACAAAAATTCTATGAACAGTGGCTATTGTCTCCCACCTGCTAAACTCTCCCGGACTCCCCCTACCTAATGAAATCTTTTCTCATTAATTCTTGGCAGCCTCATTTGCTGCTGTAACTTGTAAGCTTGACAAGTGTAGCAAGATTATGGCAAGATTAGAGTAATATACACATTATGTATTTATTTTGCATTTTATAAAGACCACGGTCCAATAACTATATTGTAGGTAATATTCCATTTCAGCGCACGAAGCGCTGACAAACTTTCGATACGATCTTGAGTTATTGAACCATCTCAAAATGTCAAGTATAGGTGTTCGCTCTACTCAATTTCTGCCTCATCAACCCGTAATATCGTTGCGAGACAGGTGAAATTAGTTTCTCACACATCGACAAGTTTGTTTTGAGCTTAATCGATATGTTCGAAGTCAATATTCGATGTAGGCGGAGCTTTGATACCAAAGATGTTGTTGGTTTAACCGTGCGGGTTGTGTGGTGGACGGCAGGTACGTTATTGGAATTGCTAAGGAGGTGCGGTTTCAGAATCGGATATGGACGGATATAGGATTTATCCGTATAAAACATTTTACGATTCGAAAAGGGGTAATTCTGGTGTTCATTACTTTCTGTATGGGACTAACAACTACTTCTCTATTACCTGATTTTAATCGAGATTTCATTTATGATAAATAAAATGCATTATTCTATAAACTACCTACCTATTACAAACTATTGTAG